ACCCAGCATCACCTAGGAGAAAGGACATGGGCCTTCCCCAGGTTTGGGTGCCTGATCAGGGACTGCAAGTCATCAGTTTACCTGGCTTTTCCCTAGTGGCCTCCCCCACCTCAGTTTCTCTGACTAAGGAATGAGGCTAGCACCCACTTCTGGGGCATTTGAGGGTTGACCAAAGAGCTTTTGGTCTAGTGTGGAGAAGAGCTGCTTGATCCTCTTCCCCAACACACACACATCACATCACATACACAGAGAGGGAAACAGAGACAGACAAAGAGAGAGAGAATAAATGAGAGAACTGAGAAACCTCTAGAAGAATGGTTTTAGGTCTTTTCCCCCTTTCCCTGCCCTGGCTTCCTTTCTCTGGCATCAGGTCACCAGTTTATGGTAGACAGCACCTTATACCTCCCTGCCCAGGTATGGCAATATTGCCCAGGCTTCTTAGGAACACCAGGGAGTGTCCCACATAGCCAGAGTAGAAAGGTTGCTGGGGCCTACACCATCTCCACCTCTTACTTACTACCTGCCCCTGTCCCTTCTCCACCTTTGGCCTCTTCAGTCATTGGAGTTGACACCCAGCAGCCCCTAGGCCCCAGTCCTAACATCCTATTGCTTACCCCACTGTCAGAATCCTGCAGTCTGCTCCTGCCTCTTCTCAGACTCTTAGTGGCTAGCTCCTGGAGAGAGATCTGGAGCTGTAGGATGGTGGGCCCAGCAGGCCCTGGAGAGCCATGATGAGTTCAGTCCTCTAGAATCTGCTGCTACCTGCCCTGAGAGACTAATGGTGTACCCACAGCAGGAAAGAGTGTATGGAGGTTCTGTGCGAGTCCATTTCTGAGAGCCATTCTGGATTCTACTATGGCCATGAGAATTTGGCTCTCTAAGTCTCAGTTTCCCTAATTATAAAGTAAGAATGTCAACCTCTAGCTTTTGGAGGGCTTGGTGACACAGGGAAGGATGCATGAAAAACCCAGGCAACGGCAGGATGTGCACAAAGCAGTGCCCAGGAAACAGCAGGAATAGATGCAGCAGTGCAACGGAGTTAGCACTGCAAACCCCTGGCCACGCCCATGGGAAGGGAGCTCATAGGGGCAGGCTTACCCAGCCTCAACCAGTCAGAACCTGGGGTGGAGCCTAGGCTGCCAGGCTGGCCAGTCACAAGCACCAGGTCTGGTCTCTGAGCACTTGGAGGCTTTCCAGAAAGTTTAACATGCAAGGAAACACTGTGTTCAGAATACAAAAAAAAGACAGGAAAACCAAGGTGCATCAAGATGTAATGAATGGTCTACAGAAACTAATATAATGTCAATTTTTTAAAATTTAAATGTAACAGTTCATTGTATTTGTGAATGATTTGTGGGGTACTTTTTTCATTTCAAGTTTTTTCCCACTGTACTAATGGGTCATGCATAAGTTAACAATTTTTATATTAAATGAATTTTGTAGCCCCAAAGGTCCAACCAAATCTTTCCAGTGCTTTCACAGAGGGGAAATAAAAATGAATGATGGATGAGGGTGAATGAAACGCTAACTCACTGCCATGGGGTCTCCACAATAAAGGGCCAGAACCCCTGGCAGTTGAACCACCAGGGCTTTGACTAAGAGACACAGGGAGGGTCCATCCTGTCCCTGCCTCTGCTCCTGGACTCACGTGACTGTGGGGTCCTCCTTCTTGAAGGTCATTCCTGAACCCTAGGGGCTCTGCTGTACTCTATGTGTACTGGGGCTGGAAGTCAACAACGTTATGAAACAAGGTTCCCTTGTGAGCCTAGAAGAAAGCATTGACTTTTATTCTTTGGAGCTAGAAATGGCAGGAATAGGGTCCCCATTACCTCCTCCAGCTCCCTCTGCAACTGTTGACAATGTTGACCTCTCAATCCAGCATGCTGTTAGCCTCACCCCAATCCTACCTGTGAAAGGCTCCCAGTTTTAGTCTGGACTCTTTTCTGGCCCTGCAGATCTTCTAGGGCCTGTCTGCCCTGTTGTCTGCCATCGCTGTGCCAGCTATAGACTCCTCCGGCCCCTCCACGCATCTGTGGGATCTTGAAAACTGGGGCGTAACCACTGGGTCTGTCTGTGCTGAGATTGTGTCTGGATTTAGGGTGTCGGTCACAGTGGGGTGACCCCTGTATGGAAACACACACACACATAAACACACACACACACACACACACACACAGAGAGAGAGAGAGAGAGAGAGAGAGAGAGAGAGAGAGAGAGAGAGAAGCCAACTATTGCTGCAGAGGCATGGAGTGCCCCCTGGTGGCAATTAGGGGCTGCAGCCAGGATTCTGGCTGGGTCAAGGACACAGAGGGGAGAGGGCAATCAGGCTTCACGTGGCTACAAGAGTTATCATTACCACAAAGACATCAAAAGTCCTTCAGAGTCCCGTGTCATGCCATACCCTTCAGGGTCACTATATGTCTGGCTGATGGCTACCTTTTCTCCGCTCAGGTCAGGGCTCTGCTGAATGTGCAGTGGAGACACCATGCTGCCTCTCAGCCAGGGCTATCCTGAGGTCCTTGGGGGAGGCAGTTAGGGATTGAGGACAAGTTAGATGTACAACTGAGACACAAGATAAGCATCAAAAGGACCTTTGACATCTCAGGTGTGCAGGTGGGTCCCCAGAACCCTTTCTCTGGGCACTGAGTAGACCCTATGGAGGTGAAAAAGTGGGACTTTATAGTGATTTACATGAGACTGTCCCCTATAGGCTCAGATGTTTGAACACTTCGTCCCCAGATGGTGGCATTGTTTGGGAAGGTTTAGGAGGTGTGACCTTGCTGTACACAGCATGTTACTGGGGTGGGTTTTGAGTGTTTATAGTCTTAATTCATGTCCAGTTCTCTTTCTGCTTCATGCTGTGGTAAAGGATATAAGCTCTCAGAATTCTTTTTCTGACACCAAATCTGCCACTTGCTGCCAGACTTCCATACCACGATGGGCTCTTACTCTTCTGGAACCATTTAGCCCACATAAACTGTCGTCTGTAAGTTGCTTTGGTCACTTTTATCACAGCAATAGAAAAGTAGCTAATGCATCAGACATGGAGCTAGAAGTGGCTCTCTCTTCCCACTACCAATGCCACCTCCCAAGATCAGGCAGAGCAATCTCTGCTCTAGACCCTTCAGCTTGCCAGCTTGTCCCAGATAAGAATTGTAGGCAGTCTGTTCCCTGAGCACCTGCATGTCACGCAGTCTGGGCTAGAGGTGTTTGGAGAATGCTGAGGGTCCCTTCCCAGAACTATGCATTTCCAGAGAATAGTGAGAACCCTGCTGCCAGATGCCAAGCAAGTTAGGTGGTTATAGCTGGCACAACTCCCAAATTCCAAGGATGGCTCCTAGCGTAACTAGCTTGGACCCATCTTCCAGTTCTTCACTTCACTGGACACTTCTGCAGCAAGCTCTTCATGGATTCTCCTTGAAGCACACAGCCCAGCTCATCTGATGTCTGATCTTCACGAGCTTTGGTTTCCCTGTCCATGACAAGGAATCCTGCTCTCTTGAAGGATTGCCATAGGTATTGGTGTGGACATTTAAAATTCTGGAACAACAAAGATGGTGATAGCGGGAAACTAAGGCTCAGAAAGGATGACAAGAAGGAGGTCCGGAGGCTAGCTCAAAAGAGCTGATTGCATACCTGGATCTCTGAGCATGTTCCGTGTCTCTGCTCCCACAGGAATTCCTGAACACAAACCCCATCCATGGAAAAGGCTTCTAGAGCCTTCTTGAAGTGTCTAACTCCTGACTCTGCTCTTGGTGTGGGGCTAGCTCCACAGAAGGGTAGAATGAGTGGACATCCTAATTTTATCATAGAGAGCCTGAAATTCCTTCACCCTGAGTGAACGGGACAGTTGAGCATCCTTAGTGAAGGGCCCCTGTGGTCCCAGGCCTCAAACAGGGCAGTTCATGGAGCAGCTCCCTTTACCCAACTCACAAAGGTAGGTCAAGGCTGCCTTATAAGGACTCACATGAGCAGATCACACGGGGATGTACACACACACAGACACACAGACACACACACAGACACACACACACACACACACTCAAGTCTCTCTAGAAAGCAGATGCTCTGTTCTGACCTTTCTCCCTTCTAACATGGTAGGAGAGAGGACACCATGTTTCAGGTCTGGAAAACAAATAGCTGTGAAGTGCACTTATTTATACTGTAGTGTGCACAGAGGTCCACACCACGGTTTAGCTCCATGTGGGCTCCTGCAGGCCCTGGCTTCCTGGTTAGTAACAACAGACATCATTCTGGAACAGCTTGTAATGCCACTGTAGTAGCTCTCCAGTCAGGGACACGGACACTGGGAGAAGACAAGTGATGCAAGGGTCATTTCTCTGCATTCTGTTCAGGTGGGCAGAATGGTAGGGTCTAACCTTGGGATGTATGAGTCACGACCCTACATGGGTTCTCCTTTCTTATGTTCCCTAGGCTCTGCTCCACTCAGAGGGAGCCTCACTTTAAAACACATTCTCACCAGAAAGCAGGTGTAATAGCCACTGCTGCCTCTCACAGTCCTGCTTCCCTACCTATTGTCACCCAGCACCCACCACAAAGGCCCTGTCACTATGGCAATCCTGACCTGGAGCAACTTCTTGTATTCTTCCCAGAATAGCCAAAGAGGCAGTCCCCAGGCTTCTGGACAGTACAGATCTAAGACTAACACCATCAAGGTAGAGTAGCCAAAGGCACATGCCCTGCCCCTTCCCCTAGCACAGGCCAGAGGTCTTAGATGCATAATGGGCACCAGCTGGTGAGTCAGGCACCCTAACAGAGAAGCTAGGGAGACAGGCACCCTTCCAAGATGGCAGATAGGCCTGCAGCGGAAGATGGCAGCCAGCCCCTTCTGAATGCTGACAGGAGGATGAGTTCTGCTGTTCATCATCCCCAAGGCACAGATGCCCCTGTCTTCCAGAAGAAAATCCACATCAGCACCAACACCACCACCCACCCACCAAAGACAAGGACTCGGTGTACATAGATGACGCCAGAGAATATGCAATCCTTAAATAGATTTATGGAAATGGTTTCGAATTACAGCATTTAGAAAATAAAAATAATCTCAATAGATAATATTCCCTCTGTTATATACTCTCCCCCACCCCCGCACAGAAGCCATTTTTGTGCATGTGTATTCCACTGCTGAACAGCGATTGGATTTCATCCTATAAAAGAAGCAGTAGGTGTGTCATCTCTCTAAAAATAAAACTGTAATCATCATTGCAACGTGAAGCCTGAGATTGAAGCCTGAGGAGGTGTCTGTGCGTCTCAGCCTGTCCAGGCCGCACTGAGGTCTGAGGAAGTGGGTTAGAGTCCCGAGAGTCCCGAGTCCCGGTAGGTGCAGAGGAAGAAGGAACTGTTAGCCAAGTGGCGGCTACCTGATGAGTCCAGTCCCAAACACCTGAGAGCTCAGCCTACGCTATCAGCGGGTGGTCAGGCCCTGTTCTGCCAGCAGGTGGCCATGGTAGAGATGCCAAGGGCATGCCTGCTTCCCCAGGAGACCACTGTGTTTGCTTCTTACATTCCCCCTTCAAATAGAAATGAGATGCATGTTGTTGGGCAGGGTCCCGAGGCAGGTGGTGAGCGCTAGGGAATGAGGTGGGTGGTAAACAGTGGGGAGTCCTGCTATGATGTTAGGGGGCTAGCATCTCCTGGCTTCTGCTTCCAGGGTTTCAGCTACAGAACAGAACATACAGAACTGGCCCTCTGCTGCCTTACTATGCACAACGGGAGCAAAAACGCCATTGGACGGGCAAGAGAAGAGAGTTCAACCCTGCCTGGCTAGCATCCCTGGATCCCATGCCAGGATGGGTGTCTCCACAAGAGGCTCTGGACAGTTTTGGAAACCCAGGCAGGTCTGCAGCAGTAGCAGCTTGATGAGATGCAATGGGGCCCTGCTGCAGCACAGCCTGGACAGGGCACACAGCAGGCAAAGCACCTCCACCCCAGAGACCCTTGCCAGGACTCAAGGCAGACACAGTGCCTCTGTCCTGGAGTCTCCAGCCCACTCAGGGCTGGGACACGCCAGGCACAGCATCACATGCCCGTCTTGTCGCTATAGAAGGGTGTGACGTGGAACATGTAGCAGTGTGTGCACACACGGACTGGCTTCACTTGTCCGTAGCGCGGAAGTGGTGCCGAGTGTGACGAGCAGCGGGAACAGAAGATCTGGAAGCCAAGAAGGGACAGAAGGTAGTGAGCAGACAGGGCCTTTGTCAGCCCTGTTACACAATCCTTTCACCCAAACCAGGTCAAATAATGGTGGGCAGGAGTCAGCCTGATCCAGACCCTGCAGACTATGGAGTTTGTAGGAAACTCTGGGCAAGGCTGGCCCAGTAGGCCAGGCTTCTTGAAAGTAACTAGGCCCTTCACCATAACCACTGCAGACTCCTTCTTAACCTCCCTGCCCCTCCCTGTTCTCACCTTGGAGGGGCCAGGATCGAGCCTGCATACTAACTAGCTAAGCATGGCCTAGTATATGGAGTCAGAATAGAGCCTAGAACCTGGGGGGACATCTGCACACGGGCGATAAGAACCTGAGTGGATTACCAGGACATCAACCCTGATGCTGTGCCTGGGGACAGTCCCCACACAACCCCAAAGTGTAGACAGCCAACAGGGCCCCACCCACCTTCCCACAGCTGCGGCAGTGGTGTTTCCTGCGGATGACGGTGAAGGGCGCTTTGCAGGAGGTGCAGAAGCCACAGGCCTCATCTGGCACCCATTCAGGAGGGTCTGTCACAACAACAGCAACAGGACAGAGCAGTGGGCTGGGGGAGGGGAAAGGGTAGACACCCCTTATCCCACTCCTCTGGTCCTGCTCTCGGCCTGTCAGTCACTGGTCACAATGTCAGTGGTCAGAGTCACACTCCAGTTGCAGGCCCAGGCCATTTGGACTCAGGATGTACAGCAGAATCAATGATGACGTCCTAACTGAGACCTTCATCTCCTTCATCTTGGTTACTCAGTTTAGCCATCTGGCTAGACTAATGTAGACCTTCCTGACCCAGGCACCCCTTTAACACTCTAGCAGAACACTTTCCCACAAGTCTTGGGCCTCTCACATAGATGCACTGCATATTCACAAGCAGCCCAGGACTCTTCTCCCTGGACATCCAAGCTGCCTAGTTTCCAGATCATTCTGGGCAGATCCCATGTGACCATATCAGTCATCAATCCCTGTCCTCACCACAAGGAAGGCTTCTGCACCCACCCAAAGCCCCCATTAACGTCCCAGAGTGTCCTGAGGCTGCTATGGGAGACTCCTTCAGTGCAGGTGAAGTGCCGGGGTACTGGATTATTGTAGCCACAGTCAATCGTGCCCCTCCTCCCTGAGCTTGTACCTACTAGGCTGAGCTGCTAAACAGGCCCAAGGCTGCACAGCAGTAAAGGGCCTGTATATATCTAGTACCAAGGAGGAGGTACAGAGTGGGGGGCCACCTCCCATGGGGGGCTGTATCCCCCAAATGGCCTGATGTCTGAATGAATATGTACAGTGTAGCTCCTTTTGCTCAGCAGACGGCAAGCCAGGTCCACACATGAGCTTCCCACATACCTTCAAAATCCCCATCTCGAGTCTTGGCTGCCAGTTCTGAGGATGACACAGTCTCCTGGCATAATGCACAGTCCTCCAAGGCTGCACTCCGTAGGGTCTGGGTTACTGGAAGGGAGAAGGGAGCCACTGGGGTTGGCAGGTAAGGCAGCAGATGTGACTGATTGTCCTTAGTGAGCACTTGGGCACCTCCAAGTTTCCAGCTCCCACAATCCCTCCAACCATCTCTCTGCACACAGAGCAAGACACCTCAGTAGGCAGGATGCCAACACTGGCAAAGTTCTTCCTATAAAAGGGTCCATTCTTTGTACAATGTGGTGGACCCTGGGGGCATCTGGTGGCTCCTCTGCATAAGCATCTAGCCCTGGGCCCTGACACTGGTAAGATTTCCTGGCCTATCATCCCTAAGGCAGAAGTTTTAAAGTCAACAACTTGATTCCTGATTTTCAGAAGGCAGCCCGCCCTGGATTGCCAATCAGAATCTGGTCAGGTGGCAGAGCTGGCTGAGGCAGAAGTTCCTCCTCACCAACAAGGACATGACCAGTTAGGCCAGACTTCCAGGACCAGCTGGGCTATCCCATATACCCAGATAGCTCATGGGAAGAAGCCTTTGTGCAGAGAGATAGCTCTCCCCAAACAGGTACCCCAGGCTAGCACCAGCAGTGCCTAGTCCCATTTCCTATCAGGACCCTACAGGGACAAAGAGCAAACTCCCTTCCTTGCCAAATATCTGTTTATCTGCTGTGTGTGTAAGGTATGCTGTAGAAAAAAGTGAGTACATGTACGAATAATGTGAGAGCACATGTGCATGCTTCAGTGAGCTGAAGATGTATAAATATGAGGCAGCTGGGGTGGATATTGCCGCTCTCTCATAGAGGGATGGGCTGGGTCCCCTTTGTCACTCAGGCTGGGCTGGGCTCTACACACTGACAGGAGACTGTAACTAACACTGTACCTCGTCTAGTCACCTGGTCTGGTCTAAGATGGAGGACAGGTCCCCAACCTCTGTCTGAAGTGAAAAGTCGGATGGCCTGCTACAGCCTATGCAAGAACCAGAGCCAGGGACCCACCTGCAAAGTGTCATGGGGAGCCACTTCTCCGGGCTACACACTCATCTCCCCAAGTCGACAACCTGGCACACTGGGTCCGGCAGATCCTGGGGGAGGTGTGAGTTTCTGCACACTCCCTTCTTGGGGACAGTGGACACAGTGGTTGGCAAGAGCCTCTGAGCCTGTCCTGCAGCTGCACTCACCCTTCTTTAGCTTCTCCTTGTCGTCGGTTTCAGGCTTGGTGGCCATGACCTCAAACAGTGTTTTGAGAATGCTTCTCAGGTCGCTGGCGTAGTTTGTCTGCAGCTGGTCAGCCACACCTGATGAGAGAAGCCAGTGGGAGGAGTGACAGGGAGACAGAAGGCTGAGTTGAGTCAATCACTTCGGTAGGCCACACTATCATGTGCTGGACAGGACGCACTCAGAGCTCACGGATTAGCAATTCCCAACCCTATAAGAGAGGATTCCCTTGCCATAATTACAAACTCAGGAATCAAAAGAGGATAGGAAGGAATGAGAGCTTCCTGCCCAACCCCACCATTGCTGCTCTCATGGATATATAATAACTTATCCAGAGTCACAGCCACTACAACTAAAACAGACACCCACAGAGGTCCTAGAACACTGTGCCTATGGCAACACCTGGTGCCATCACAGAAGCAAGGGAATACAAATATGTCTACATTCTCCCAGTATCCAGCACTACACTGTCCTGAGTAACTTTGACTACAGGGTCACTAAACATGCTCTGTATAGCCTGGATCCAGGGTAAAGCCCAGCCTGCAGTAGTGTCCAGGGCCTGACTGCTTTGATCACGGATCCCATTGCTCCCACCCACCCCTGGAGGAAAGCTCTACTCCACCTTCACTTACAGAGCTCCCTCCTCCCTGTAGGACAGATCTGGTCCCACCCCTAGGTTTGCTCCACAAACCACACTGCCCTCCGCTTTAGCCTGGACAAGCTGGGCCAGCCCCACTATTCTTTCTCTCCTGAGGCACGTCCTGCCTGTCCCCACACACATGTCCTAGGTCCAGATCTCATACCTGAAATGCAGACAAACAGGCGGTGGATCAGGTCATGGCTGCCATGGAACCTGGACCGAATCTTCTCTCTGGTGGCCATGGGGGTGAGAGGCATGACCGCAGGGGCCACCTCCAGTCTGGTGCTGTCTAAGGAGCCGGAGCCAGCTGTGGAGCTGATGCAGAGAAGAGAGGCAGGGGAGGTGAGTAGGGGCCACAGCAAGGAACCTGTCTTAGTTAAGGTATTTATTAAGACCATGACCAAAAACAACTTGGGGAAGAAAGAGTTTAAGATTACAACTCTCAGGTCTTTCCATCGTAGAGGGAAGTCAGGACAGGGGCTCAAGGAAAGAACCTGGAGGCAAGAACTGAATCCGAGGGCATGGAGGAACGCTATTTGCCTCCTTTCTTCTATAATCCAAACTCCTGGCCAGGGCTGGCACTACTCACACTGTGCTGGGCCCTCCCACATCAATTACTAATTAATAAAACACCCCCACAGACTTGCCTACAGGCCAGTCTTACAGATGCATTTTCTCAATTAAGGTTTCCTCTTCCCAAATGCCTAGGTTTGTGTCAAGTTGACAAAAACCAACCAGCACAGGGCCTCTGGAGCTGGAGGTCAGAGCATCAGGGCAAGTCTGTCCTCAAGCTCCCTTCCAAAAGAGCTGAATCGCCTGGACATGCTATTTCCTATCATGTAAGTGCCAACAGTGTGTCTGCTTTTAAAACACAATGGACTTGAACAACTAATCCAGTACTGCCTTGCTCTAACCCTTGATAGCTACTCCCCTGCATCAGTCCTTCCACGCGGGCTGATGTGGCATTTACTCTAGCTTAATCTGCTCCATCTTGTACCCACACTTAACATAATCTCCCAACTTCTTTTATTTGGCAGACCCTTTGACCTCTCAGGCCATCTGTGGGAACAGAACACAACCCCCCAAAACATGTGTACACCTAACCCCTTGAACCTGTGAGCGGGTCCTTATTTGAAAAGAGGATCTCTTCAGAAGCAATTAAGTAAAGGGTCTGGCATTGAGATTATCCTAGATTATTCAGTGGGTCCTAAATCCAAACACAAGTGCCCTTGTAAGACACAACAGTAGAGGCCCAGGGACCCAAGATAAAGAGGACAACACATGCCCAGAGTTTGAGATAGGCGGGATACAGCCAAAAGTCAAGGGGCACCTGGAGCTCCCTGGAGTTGGAAGAGGCGAGAAGGGCTCCTCTGGTGCTTCAGGAGGGAGAACAGCTCTGGCAAATTTTAGACTTCTGGTCTGGAGACTATAAGAGAATACATTTTCGGCAATTTAGGCCACCATAGCAGCCACAGGACATGTGAATAGTCTCCCCCTCCAGACACCTGCCCCTCTTCTCCCCAGTGGCTGGTTTTATTAGATCTGTTCTTTAGAAGTTCATTGTGACTGTGCACAGAGTATTTATAGCCAAATCTCTGAAAAGTTAGGTCTCTTCTGGCCAAACCCAAACCAAAAATTAGAGGCTGGGGGAGGCTCAGGACTAAAGAGTTTGCCATGTCTGGTTTTGATCTTTACCATTAGTAAAGCTGAGGTTCCAAACACAAAGCAAGGGCTCATAAATTTACAGCAGAGTTGGCGAAGCCACCGGAACAACTGTGGCTACAGCGCTGAAGAGGCTAGAGAGTTCCAGAGAGGAGTCCGGGCGGAAATAATGGGGACAAAGTAGCAGAGACAACAAGGGGCAGACAAGAAATGGCAGGGCACGAGCTGAGAGGCCAGAGACAGACGGGAAGGGCTAGAAGAAGACTCAGCAGCTAGAAGCAATGGCTGTTCTTCCAGAGGACCAGAATTCGCTTCCCAGAACATACATCCTACCTCACAATTGTCTGTAACTTCAGTTCCAAGGAATCTGACTCCCTCTGCCAGTCTCCACGGACACCAGGCATGCATGTAGTACACAAATATACATGTAGGCAAAACACTCATGTACATTAAATAAACACATGAAAGGCAGAAGGTTGGTAAGAACTAGAGAAGGGAAATTGCAGGCCTTAGTTACCAGAAGTTTCAGAAAGCTGCCAAACTTTAAGTGCAAGAGCCTGTCACCCTAGGCTGTAATACTGCTCCCTGTTGCGCTGAGCGCACCAGCACCCAAGGACCATTCAGTAGTTCTAACACTAGCTGGCACAGCTGGCTACTGTTTTTCACTGCTGCCAAGAAGTGGGGCCATTGGTGATTTAAGACCACAACAACAGGTCTTCAATCAGAGTGTCTAAGCCTGCAGCATCTACATTCATACCCTGGAACAATAAAGCACTACTTGGAGCTGTTAGCCTTTGGGTCTGCCATTCTAATCCCTAAGCATTCGGCATTCAGAGGCCCAGGACTGCCAGCACCAGCAGAGCTTCTCCTTGTCTACTGCAGGTTCTCCCTAGGTAGAGTAAAAGAACCCCAGTCAGTTGATTGACAGCAACTCAGGACCTACACTGTCTCTCTTTTCCATTTGGAGAAAACTGATTTATTTATTGGTCTGTTTTCGATGCCAAAGTCTTGTCTCAAATGCTTGTGGGTACTTGACTATTTGATGTATTTTAGAAGAAAGCCTGCCAAACAGAAGCAGAAAACAGAATTTTATCTTGTTGGACAACAAATTATTGCAACCATTTGGAAAAGTATTTTGGTGCCATCAAAATAAAATTGTGTAACCCTGACCCAATTCTACAGCCCAGTGGACCATTGCCAACATATCCCTGAATCCTCTGCCTGTATGTCTATTGACACAACTGAATCTTTGTAACAGCATTCCATGTTCCAGAAGAAAACTGGGAAGGAGCCCAAACCTTCATGATGGGACGCAGAGTCAACCGCAATCTGAGCACCCACTCCCAGGGCTACCAAGGCCACTATAGGCATGATTTAACTTACATATTGTATGAACCCCTGGACATGCAGTGGGAAAACACACAAGGCTTGGATACAGATACAGTTGGGAGCACAAAGGTGAGATGCCATGAACACTCAACAATGGTGGACTATCCAGGAAGGAGGGGCTGGGCTCGGAAGAAGCCCTAGAGCCCTGTGGGTTCCTTCACTACTGGCTAGGACACTCACAGATGCTATCTTGCTCTAAGTGCTCTTCCGTTGTCATACTCTAAAGCAGCGAATGTCTATCGGCACACAGAGCAGCCTGGAGATCTGAGACAGGGCTGGGCATGCTGGGCCACAGAAACCGGTGATCTGCCGGGATCCTTAGGATGCGCTCCAGGCCCCCACATCTAGCTGGCTCCATTTCATTTAGAGGGAAAGCCCCTGACTTCTGTCTGGGGATGTGGGCCTTAGTGACTCTGCTGATTATTGAGGAAGGAAGGGGAGAAGACTTCCTCCCCTTCTACATATACCCTAGCTGCAGTTGATAGCCTCACCAATTGAGAACTTACAGAGATACACCTGCCACTGCTTCCTGAGTGCTGGTATTAAAGGAAGGCCCACACTTGGCTCAGTGATTCTATTTTTTTATTTTTTTGAGACAGAGCCTCGTGTAGACCACACTGGCTCCAAACTAGCTATTGTAGTGAGGAAGGCCTTGAACTCTTGACCCTTCTGCCTCTACCTACGGTTATCTTGGGAGTACAAGGGTAGGACATTACACCTGCCTAATTTTATTGTTTTAGAGAAGGTGCCACTTTATAACCCAGGTTGACCTCATGATCCCCCTGCCTTAACCTCCTAAGTGCTAGGATTAAAGCCACATACCATCACGCCTAGCTCTCTCAAAAGCACTGAAAATAGGGACCCAGGCATACATTTGTATAGAGATGTTCTGAGTATCATTATTCATGTGCCTGGAGGTGAAAACAAATCCAAGAGCCCATGAAGGAGGACGAGGGTATAAACAAGGCAGTGAAGTATTATCCAGCCTTCAAAATGAAAGAGATTATGGCACTTACTCCAATGTAGATGAGCTCTAAAACATGCTAAGTGAAAGAAACCAGATACAAAAGACAAATCCTACGAGACTTTATTATGTCAGGTCTCTAGAGCTGGTTAATCCAAAGAGACAGTAAATACAGCGGGTAGATGCCAAGGGCTGGGGCAGGTACATGGAGACAGAATTCAGCTTCGAAGAGGAGAACATGTTGGAGAGGGAAGGTAATGGTGGCTGACCGAGGCCGCAAGTGTGGCATTACAACGGACATCACAGTTAAAGTGACAGATTTGATGTATGCTTATCAAAATTTCATTAAATGAAAGTAAAACAAAAACAACCAGGGCAAAGAACAGGGGAAAGGTACTGAGGGCAATAGGCATGGCATGAACACACTGAAAATGATAGTAAGTAAAATGGCCTTCAAGATGGCTCAAAGATAAAGGCACTCACTGCTGAGCTCGAGGACCTGAGTTTAGCCCAGGGGCCCCACCCAGAGGAAAGAGAGGCGACGCCTGCACACTGTCCCATGGCTCCCACAAAATCACTGTGGCATGCATGTCCCTGCCCTCCAACCACAAAATAATAAATAATTACCAGTTTTTTTTTAAAAAAACTAGAATATCATACAAAGATAGATGAGATATTGAGAAATATCAAGTACTTATTTTTCTGGTGAGAAAAATAAGTAACGCAGTCATGGCGGTCGCTCTATAATCCCAGCTTTGGGGAGGAGGCAGGAGAAAGGTGAGTTTGAGGCTAGCTTGAGTTACATAATGAGATCGAGGCTAGCTTGAGTTACATAATGAGACCCAGTCTCAAACAAACAAACAAACAAATATTCTATTCCTCGAAGAGAAGGAAGTGGCAGCCAGCAGTAGATGGCACCCTTGGGCCTGCTCATGGTGATGGCACCAAGAGGCGTAAAGAGAGAGGTGCTGAATAGGCCAGGGCACAGCGGGAGCCAGACCAAACACGTTGCTGAAGATTTGTCCCCTGAGATGAAAATAACAGGCAAGTATTGCCTACCTGGAAGTTAGACATGAAGGACTTGCTGACCACACTAAGGCCCCAGGCCTGGCCAGTCCCACTATCCTGGACGTCTCAGTCCCCAAGAGTAAAGCTCCAGAGAGCTGAAATGGCCACAGCATGCATTCTTCATGAGTCATGGGTTAGACAGTGTGTTAGATAGTTTTGTCAACGTGACACAAGTTAAAGTCATTTGAGAGAAGGAAACCTCAATGAAGAAAATATCTCCTTAAGTCTGGACTATAGGCGAGCCCGTAGGGCATTTTCTTAATTAGTGATTGATGGGGGGAGGACCCAGCTCATGTGGATAGTGCTATCCCTGGGCTGGTGGGCTTGGGTTCTATAACAGAGCAAGTTGAGCTATCCGTGGGGAACAAGCCAGTAAGCAGCACCCCTCCATGGCCTCTGCATCAGCTCCTGCCTCTAGGTTCCTGCACTGTTTTTGAGTTCCTGCCCCCACTGCTTTTGATGGTGAACCATTATATAGAAATAAATCATTTCCTCCCCAAGTTGTTTTTGGTCATTACAGGAATGGTGACCCTAAACTAAGACAGGCAGGGCAGGACACCCTTCTAGGAACAGGCTTTAGCAACATCTGCCAAAGTCACATCCTCTTTGCAGACCAGCAGTGACCCGTAGCAGATGGTCAGCATGCTGAACATCGGGTACCTTACAGTCCTGCATGGCTCTAGCAGGGAGATGTGTTTGCTGCGCTGGGTTGAAAGGAGTCCATTCATTTGCATGATGAAGTCCTAGACTGCAGGACCTTGGAGAAGGTCCTACTTGCAAACAGCATTCTGGTGGGTATGATGAATGCAAATGAGGTCATACTAGAACAGGGTAGGGACCTGACCCATCAGGACTGGCATCCTCATAAAAAGAGTGAACCTGGACACATGAAGAAACAGCAGCATGGTGACGAAGGCATTGATTGGGGGTGACAATTTCTCAAGTCAAAAAACTCACCTGGCCACCACCAGGAGCAGAAGGGTAGCCTGGGACAGTTTTCCTCACAGCCCCTGCCAGAACCAGTTACAAGACTCCCTGATACTGATTTCCTGCCTTCAAGACTGAAGAAAGACCATTTCTCTCTGCAGCATCTACTGCTGTTTGTCACACTTTGTTACAAAAGCCCTAAGACATTTATTCGTGGAGGAGTGTCCCATGTCTCCGGAGTACCCCATGACGCAGATGAGCCCAGTATGTAGGCTGTACAAGGTGCTGTCCCTAAACAGTGCAGCTTCTAGCAAGACTCCCACAGGTCCAGGGCAGAGAAGCTTTGCATGCAAAAGTCAGACCCCTCATCTCCTGTCCCTTTAACCTCTGTCCCCTTGCTCACTCCTCTCAGCCTC